AGTAAACATATATATATATATATGTGTATATACATGAGAATGTTATATGTATATATATATATATATATTGGGGGTTTAGGGTTTATAGGGGTGTATGTAGGCCTCCCCCATGCACATGACCCCTTAAAAAGACACATCACAGGCTGCAGAGCAGGGTGGAAACCTTCGCGACCGAGTTGACGGAGGAACAGGATGCTCTGGAAGAGATGAAAGAGACAGGTGCTATCGATGGGTTCACACGGAAGCCACTTCCCTTGCATGCCATCGGGTCCGGAACTGTGACAGTTGCGGCTTCACTAGAAATATCTGTATAATGCAATCTTCCCAAGGATGCAGAACGACATCCGACTGAGATTGGAAGCCGCTCGTGTGAAGCTACTTGGTCGATGATGTGTTTTTGCTCAGGACCCCTCGCATGCCAGCTTCATCTGAGGCTTGTGCAAGCGATGAGTGTTCACGAGAGAACCAAGCCCGTGCCCTAGCGCCCGAATACTCGCAGGAGCCCTTTCCGTAAAACTGTCGACTTCATTGAAATATCTCCCAATCCAAGGAACTTGGCCCCGAAGCCCACTGCTGCTGCTAAGCCGAAGACCAATCCCAAGCGCAAAGCGGAGCCGAACCCGCCGCCTTCTGCAAAGCGGGGGCGCAAGTAGGTGTTCCCAGCGTGCTTAGGCTGCTAAGCTGCCCGTGTTTTTGTGTGTGCTGTGCCGAGCAAAGCTCTGTACACTTCATGCACTTTCTCCTGCGACATGCAGGTTGCCAACACTACCATGGAAATCTTTATTTAAAGAACCATGTATGATGCAGTGTCATACCTTGGTAAGTCTTGGGTGTTGGGCTACTGCAACTTGAAGGAGGCTAATTACGGTATCGTGCTGTATGTGCGCGATCATGGATGGGAGTTTGTAGGATCTGGCCCTGGGGTAGCAACATCGGGCGGCGCAGCTGAAAACGTCTGGACGTTATGGTGCTCTCGAAAACTGCCTTGAAGAGTTTACATCCCTCAAGGAACATATATCCTACCAGGTACAAGCCCGAACGAGTCCAACTTCGAGGATCACCTTATCACTTACCTGGCAGAGAGCATGGGCGACGGGGCTTGGGCCTAATCATCCACATTTGCCCTACACATGTACATATGTATATGCCGTGCAAACTGCGAGTCTGCAACAACCGAGGCTACTGCTGTCAGTGTGGTGAAAACGCTGTCAGCCTCCCGTGGCAAGACAGCAACTGAGGCTCAGGAGCGACATGCTCAGCGTTTCACAGAACGCATCTTCAAGAAGATGCACTTATCACTGCCCATCGAACCCCAAGTGATGCATCATGCAAACATGTCCGGACCTGTCAATATCGAAACTCACCATGTGCTACCCGAAGACTGGATCAAGACCTTGCTAATGGAAGATGCTTCTTTGTTGGCTGGGAGTGAGATGCCTCCCACACTGGCCTTCGCATCATTTTGGGCAGCGTATAGGCTATCACATGGTACACACAAGGTGTTTGAAGCCCATCCTACAGAAGACAGTTGGGGGAAAATCGTACCTCTCATGCTGCACGGCGACGAGGGTAGAGGCCAAAAAAAGAGCCCATACTTAGTATTGTCCATGGAGAGCCCCATCGGATCCACTCCCCGCCTCAATCGCTCGTGCGACTGTCAGAGGTACATGGAAGAGCACCCTGACCTCCCAACATTTGGCGCAGACCAGGAAGGGCTTCTAAGTCCCGAGTACAAAAAAGCTTGTTTGTCCATGTTCACGAATTACAAAGGACATTCCTTTCTGTCAAGGTATTTCCTCTTTGGCATTGCTTGCTCTGTTCTGAAGAAAAACAAACACGTGACCAATGCTGTTTTCCAAAAGCTGGTCGACAACTTCAACAAGTTGCTTTCAGAGGGAGTAGAGGTGCCAAAGATGGGAAGGATTTATGCGGCCGTTGTGGGTGTCAAGGGCGACCTAGACTTTCATTTGAAATACTATGACCTGGTAAGATCATACTCACACGTGGGGTCCCGACAAGCAGGGTTCATTTGCCACGCATGCCAAGCATCCAGTGGTGTGAATTCACAACATCCGTTCGACGACTTTTCCGAAGACCCAGCCTGGCTTCAAACCATGCACCAGACCCGACCGTGGAACGCTACTCCGATCCTAGCTTCAGTCCCCTACGACGACCAGCGACCTGAACAGGTCATAGTCTGGGATCTGCTGCATGTCCTGAAGCTGGGTGTCGGACGATACCTCATCGGAGGAGCCCTGATCCTGCTGTTGCGGAAAGGCTTTATGGACCACGCTGGAGACTTGAAGAACATCTTGGACAGGTTGCAGCGTGCTTATAGTAGTTTTGTTCTGTGGTGTGCAGTAAACAAAGAGAAGGCCGCTCTGCGTGGTTTCACAAAGCAATTTTTCCATCTAAAGAACTTTGTGTCCTGCCCATGGGCCAACAGCAAGGGCAGCGATACCATGCTTTTAGCTCGATGGCTGTTGTGGTTTGTGAAGCTACAACTGAATAATCCTCGTGTACATGGGTTTGAGAAGGTGTTGTTTGCCATGCAGCGTACTTTCGAGGCCATGCTGGAGCTTTTTCAGCTTGTTAACAATCACATGCTTTTCCTCTCGCGCATGTGTGCTGCAAGACTGTATGTGCTGATGATGCGCGTTGTCAGGGGATACAGGTTGCTGGGGCGTCTGGCAATCGACGTCAAGGTGAGGGCATTTTCCATTACCCCCAAATGCCATGCGCTTCATCACCTGGCGATGAACATCAAGCGCTCGTTACGAGCTGGTCACCCCGTCGTACTCTCTCCACAGGCCTATGCATGCGAAATAAACGAAGATTATATTGGGAGAGTTGCGCGACTCTGCCGAAAGGTTGCTAGCCGAACCATCGACAAGCGTGTATTTGAACGGGTGAAGCTCAAGACACGAGCTTTGCATCAGAATCGTCAGAAAGGCCAGTCGGGGAAAGGGACAGTGAGGAACAGGCGGAATAAGAAACCCTTATAATATTCACGACTGTTAGAGGACCCGGCGGTGTACAGACAGAAAGACTACCAATTAAGTAGCATATCATTTCAAACTCCTCATTTCAAACTCCATGTGCTCACGAAAACCTGAACCTTCGACCCTTTCCCTCGCTGCCTGCACAGTGATGGCTGCTGGCCGGAAAAGGCAAGCGATGGACTCTCACATAGATGGATGCGAGCAGGCTGTGCTGTCTGGTTGACTCATTATAGACTCCAGCTTTCAGGATGTTTTGAAGGATGCAAGATGTTTTTTTCGTACATGTTCTCCAGGTTTACATAGCAAACATGACTTTAGCCGAAAGTGGCTTCAGGCGTTCTCAAATCGTTCAGGCGTTCCCATTGGGTTCGGGCTGAAAAGACAGCCTGAAAGGCCGCGGGCTGAATATTAAGCCCGAGGGTTCTGCAGGTAAGCCTCAAGTCTTGAACCCTTGAG